GCTGTGCAATGGTCAGGGAGGGCAGAACCGAACCCACAGTTTAAGCAGCTCGCTCTCATTTTCATTTCACAGGTTCAGCACAGCTGGTGTAATTCACATGTAAAACCACAGCAGTCATCCAAATCTTTGCTGCCTGGGCATTGGCTGGCTGCATTTCTGGAAATTCATGGTCAGAACACATACCTATTTTTTGAGTTTCCATTAGGAACTGGTTCTGTCAGGCATGATCGCATTCGCAAGAGCTCAGGAGGCAGGAAAATTTGAAAAAGTGTTTATGAGACTGGGCATAAATCACAGCTCTCAGGTTTTTCTCCCTTCTTCAATTAAAAAAAATACACTGAGAGCAGCCATTCCCCACATCTACTCCCCCATCTCCCTCCAGAAATGAAAACCCCCCCCCCAGCCATAAATTGGATCCCAGGTGTACTCATATATATTATACATACATAACAGCTACTTATGGGCATAAGGGCTCTTGCACAGTTACTGTGGAAACCAAGGTATTAAATTTCCCGGCTCTTAAGACCCTACCTTCTCAACCTTAATGTGCATTTACCTTGAATAAATCACTTCTGCACTCTCCAGCCCAGAAACATCCCTTAGTAGAGTGCATTTGGGTTCATCTTCAGGAGGCTCCATCTAACCCGCTGTCAATGGCCCAGGAACGCAGTGCTGCCTCCGACCCTGCACAGCCCGCGGATGGGAGCAGGGTGCAGGAGGAGAGGGCGTCTTTCTGTAGGCAGAGACCAACTCGCTTCTGCACAGCACAGCTCCAAGGGGCACTGACCGCTCCTGTAGGTATCGCTGGCAGAGAAACCCCCTGCAGCTCCTCTCACTGCCTGGACAGCATCAGGATACCGCTCTCTCTCACGGGCACTCGCGACAACTAAAGGTTGAACTTGGCTTTGTAGGAAAGGGGATTCATTTACCAGCTACTGAAACACATCCTGGTCTGGATGGGATGCAGCAGCCTGGAGCAGCAGAAGACACGATGCAGTGTCTTGGGGAGAATTTCATTACATCCTGCTAAGGCTCCGGAGGGACAATGTGACACTTCAACATAAATTTCTTTCAGTTCTGGCTGCGACCACACAAGAACCCAAAGATACTTCAATGCGAAGTGCAAATGCAGCCCAGATGTAACCTCAGGGACTTCAGCAGAGCTCACTGTAGGGCTGAGCCTGACCCACCTCATCTGTGTGTAAGCGTAGCTCAGATATTCTCCCCGGATAACTGCAAGGGGTCCTGCTGCATACACACAGCTTGTCACAGGGGTGTCGATGCTGTCCTGCAAGAGGCACCTCAGCATCCAGCACGGAATTAAAAACACTCACAACAGCCAAGTGAGACACTGAGGGGTGCTGGTGACAGCAGTGGCTTTTGGGGTCTCTAGGGCTGCTGTGCACTGCGAGCCTTCCAGTTCGCTCCCCAAATCATTTGCTAAAACACACAGCAAGACCGCTCTCACCTCATTCATGATTCAGGATCTATATTTTTACGATTTTCTTTGGCATTTTTAAGGCATCTCCCCCACCACAGTAACTAGGTGCTTAGCCAAACTATCAGGGAGACAGGAGTCTGTGGATCCCTCCATCAAAAAGTGCCACTGTCAATCATACGGTCTTCCTATTACACACTGGCTATGAGCACAAACTAACACATTCATAAGGTGAAAGATGAAAGGCATCATCAATACACAACAAAGTAACTTGTTATAATCCTGTCGCCCTCCCCAGCACACACAGGCAGGGCCTCTTCCTGTAACAAGCCGAGTGAAAACAAGACCATGGGATGTCAAAACTGTACTTACTTAACCTTTGCACTTCTGAAACAGCAAAGATCCTGTCAAAAAGAAATTATTACAATTCTTCCCTTGTTATCTCTCAGGAAAATAGGAAGGAAAGTTTTGGCATTGCTACCCTCCAAGATTTTCCTAAAATTGTTATTCCTAAAATAACAACGCAGCTTGGCAGTTTTCTTTCCTTGCCACCTTCTAGTTTCTCGAAACAGCCCTCTCTGCCTCATCTTCCTGGCTGACAGGCTGTGCTGTTTGTAAAGGATCCCTCTTCTCCTCTTACTTTGTACTGCCCACATCCCGCTCTGTTCCACCTCTCAGCGCTCGTCCCTCGGCTAAGCTTAACAGGACTTTCTCTGCAGACCATAATCACTGCTCTGAGGTTAGTCGGAGTTAGGTGTTGCAGACAGAAGCACAGCCCTTCCTCTCCCACACCCAGACTCCCTGCCAAGCTCTGGCTTAGGAGTATCATACCAGATCTTGAAATCAAACTCCGGGGTCTTGCATGACAAATCAGAGCAATTGCTGGGGCTTGGCTGTACCTCCTTTACTTATGGCAAATCTGGGGTGGTTAACTTTGAGGGTTGGACTAGATGACCCACAGAGGTCCCTTCCAGCCCCTACTATTCTTTGATTCTGTGATTCTGTAACTTGCCTGACGATTTGACAGTGCTTCACCTATAGAACACACGTTACCATATTAGCAATCATTGACAAAAATCGTGCTTCTTTTGATGGGAAACAGGAGCAGGTCCTTGAAAAGCACCTATTGTCTGAGGAGAAACTTCCCTACAACTTTGCTGGCATCCTTATGAATCCTGGGACTTTCCCATCTAGAGCACTCGCCCGAAGAGAGCTGGCCTGGGGCTGCTCTGACCCTTGAAGAGCCAAATACGAAGCAAATAAGAAGTTCAAACTCTCTCCTCTTTATTGCTTCCTTATGACACTTGGTGAGCCCTCCCTATGCTAATATATCATTTCTGCTCCCCACACCACACAGTCACGAGAAATATTCGGGTCTGCCTTCCCTCTGTTTTGCTGGAGGATTCTCTGAAGGACCGAAAGTTGAATAGTGGTATCACAATAGGCTGAAGCTAGAGGTTCGGCTTTCCAGCCCTTAGACAGACTCAATGCCCCTCTCTAACTCAGTTGGAAAGCTGCAGCTCAAATTTCAGCCTATGTTAAGTCACTGTTCAGCTCTGCTCCTTCAGCAAAAGAGAGAGAAGCCAGGAGAGCCTTTTTCTAAAGCAAAAAACTGGGGGGGTGTGAGAAGGGTGGGGAAAGGAAGCAAAAACACATGGAGATCATTTTTTGTGCATCGGACGGAGCAATGAAAGGCACAGGCAACTTTTCAAACATGCCAGAACAGCTTAGTGTGATTTGTAACTTGGGGGGGGGGGGGGGGAAACAACTGAGGCAGCAATGACCTGTATGGAGACCCTGCTACCACCTTTCTGGCTTCTGTAGAGGATGGAGGCATTTGTATCATTTTGTACCACAGAACCATCGACATGAACTTCTGACACCAGCATCTCATTACGGAGAGACAAAGACTTAACATGGGCTTCAACGTCAGCAATCCGCTGCCCCATATCACAACCTACAAATGTAACATCCCAGCCAGTCCCCCAACGCTGATCTCGGCTACAGCAAGCACCTGACCCCACATACCACGCTGGCACTCATCCATCTTTCTAAACATGCTCAGAATTGGCTGCAACCCACTTGCACGAGAGTCAGGACAGCAGATACAAGCCCAGCATGGCAAGGAGATGAGGGATGCCTTCCCCATTTTTTCAGACAGACTAAGAGTATCCCCTCTTACGCCTGCCAGACCGAGCTCAAGGAATCAAAGCTCATTCCTAATTAATACATCATCAGGTCGAACCGGCCAGGGACTTGCCTCCCGAGAGGGGAGCCTGGGCCAGCCTAGATGATGAATGAGACCTCAAGCAGCTGAACTGTTTCAAAGGCTAAACTGGCAACTGCAAGGACAAGCAGGTTTGGGAAGGCATGTAGAAAAAAACAAAATTTCCACTACAGTTACAATTTCTTTTTTCCTATTTAGCACTGAGACCTGCACTATGTTCTTGCTGCAGCGCTTTTCCTCCAGTTACGCACTCCGCAAAGCCTATACCTACAGGAGCAGCTCCCCCTCTCCTGAAACGCAGCCACTTCTCCGGTGAAAACCTCACAACTGCAGACCACCGGAGGGAAATCCATTCTGCCAGATTAACCCCGGCAAACTTTCACAAGTAAATTAAATTGATCTACCGCATTCAGGACATTTACACAAGACCAGCCCCCTTGGATGGCTGAGGTCACCTTACTGCAGAGTTCTTGCACACCAGGGACGGCAGTTTCATTTGCTTGCATGACTATTATAAACACTGAGGAGAAAGGGTCTGGCATTTGCAAATACCTGTATTTCGATCATTCCTTGAGACAGCGGCATAGGACCGACACATCCACTGCAGCGATACCCACATTTGTTGCAACAGACCTCCCAAACAGACATGACATACAACGTAATTTCTCTGTCTGCTGGCACCATTCCACATTGTTCAGCTCTCGCTGTCCCCTCCGCCACAAATGCCCCAGCAGAGGCAGCAAGCTCCGCTCTATTATTGGAAGACTCAGTGGAGCACATCCCCCACAAGCCAACTACCTCCCCCTTGCAACTGAGCAAAGTGAGTATTAAAACCCAGCAACTGTCTCCCGTTCAAACCAGATGGCATAAATAGCTGGAGAGCTATCAAACAAAGTATACATTCAATACTTCGGCGTAACATGAAAGCCCCGTTAAGCAAGTGTGTGCATACATACACACCCACGCTCAGGGACCAAAGCAACGGCAGAAAGCGCTCGATTAACTCCTCTAGTGGCTTAAGTGTCTGTCGACACTCAGGACGTTCACACAGCACGAGCACTGCCCAAATTTCCGTGGCTTGTGCAGTCCTGGAGCTCTCCTGAAGCTACAAATTGCAGCAGGCTGCTATTCTAAACAAGGAAAGCCTGAGACTGGCAAGCTGATTAAGACCATCACTTTGTGTCACGTCTAACTCATTCCCAGCTGCCTCGAGTAAAAGAAAAAGCCACCAGAAACCCTGCGCTCTAACGGCATTAAAAGAAAACAGCGAGTCCCTGTCCTGTCCAGCTCTGGGGATACGCATGGAGCTTCACAACTCTGTTCCAGCTCACTTACCTCGTCCATTTTTTCCGACGTTGGAGTCTGGTCACCAGGCACCATTTCTTTAGCCTCCGAGGTCTCAATTTTGGAGGTCCTGCTCAGCTGCTCAATGGGAGTCATGCTGGCCTCCGACGTCCCCCGGGAATTCTGACTCAGAGAAACCATCCCAGGGATGGGCTCGTCATCGTCAGAGTCAGGTAACGGCGTCGGGCTAATGTCCTCCAAGCCTGTGCTGGAAGGGCGCGAGGAAGGAGTCTGACCTCTGTAACCGGGCTGAGAGTTCGAACCGTACATTGGGATGGGGGAGAGCTGGGAAGAGGAGGAGGAGATAGGGCTACCTTCCATTCGGACCTCGTTATCCGAGTCATGCTCATTAAGAAAGGGTAACTTTGTTCTCTGCTCTTTTAAGAGCATCTCAATCCTCGAGTCTAAACTGTTATGCTGCATTTCGGACTCCATGGTGGGGGTGCCAGGGGTCTCGCTTCTCTCTGGAGTCTGAGAGAAGGATGCTGTGCTCGATTCAGGAACAGAGTTCGAATCGGGCAAGGGTGGAGGCTCCTCCTGTTTCTCCTTCACCGGAACAAAATCGATGTTCGTGGCAGCGCTGCTTTCCACAACCATCTCAGTGGGAGGTGGCGCAGGCCTTCGGTACTCTGTTTCTCTGGAAGTCTGGGGAAACTGCTGCTCATCGGACTGGGGAAATACAGCTGGTGCTTGATAGGGAGAGAAGGCAGATTTGTAGCTTGAAGAACTAGAGTGGCTCAGGGGAGGAGTGTGAGAGAACTGAACGGGCTCCTGCTGATGGGATTTGTACGTACTAAACTGATGCTCCGTCCCTCGGAAAACACCTGCCGAGTTATGAACATAGTGATGTCCCGGTCGACGGTTGTAGGCATCCGTAAATTTTGTTTCGTGTCTCCTGGGTTTGTACCCACTGTCCTGCCCAAAATGGTACACGGGTGTTGTCTGACGACTAGAATAGGTAGAATCCTGGGAAAACGGCGTCCCTAAGCGGGGGGTGTGAGGTGTTCCTTGGGACTGTGGGGTGAATTGGCTGTACGAGTTTGGGGTGTCTTGCCGACAGCTGGAATAGGCTGTGTCATGGGAAAACGGCGTGCTGCTGTTTGGGGTAACAGATGATCCCGCAGAAGAGAGGTTACTGTCTTTCAGGCGCTTCAGGGAATCTGTCAACTACAAAACAGAAGAGAGAAAAGCAGCTAAACACATACTTTTAAAAAGATATTTGTCCAATCTGTTCGGTTTTCAGAGTATCCAGGAGTTTGCACTGATTTCCATGGCAAAAAAGAAAACAACAAAAAATAGGTTACAGCATCCATGAAAACACAGATCTTATCCATGGTTTACAGTTCCCCTTGATTTTGAAGAAAAAGGGAAGCAAAGAGGAATTTGTCTGTGAGAGGAGGAAGAGGAAAGCAGATACAACAGTATTCCTTATAAGCTATACCCAAGAGCATCAGGTGAACAGCAGACTTGCACAACACTTTCAGCTAAAAAGAGTTTCAATATCTACGTAAGCTATGTAAGGCTTGTCCAAACTGCAAATAGGAAAGATAATTCAGAAAATTCTGATACATCAAATTATCAATCTAACTTTTTTTGTGAACAAATCAAAGCACACAAATCAGCAAACTTCCAGCCTGCAGCCAAACCTATGCAGCAGGGCTTTGTGTCGGTCCAGCTCAGGGAGCTGACCCACCACCCTCTCGACCAAACGCTCAACTGTGACAACAAGGGAGAAGGCTACAGCTACAAACGGCACAAAAAGTTCTCAACTGCTAAACCCACATTTTAAACCACTTTCCAAGACAAACGCTCAGGTAGAGCACTACTGACTACGGCACTTGAAACTGAAACCCGACAAGCCTACAGAGCAGCCCAGTAATTGCTCTGCAACTCACTTCATAGGCACATTCAGGGGGTTTCTAGGAGCAGCCCTGCTCCAACCTAGACTCTGCTGAGTCATAACAGAGCCATGCTAATCAGCAGCGCCAGAATCAATTTTCCATAATGCAAAGCAAGAGCTCAGCGAGAATCCTCCTGGTAGTAAAAGAAGCAGGACTGAGCTCCAACTCCCCAAAAGCACACCGGGATAGCTACATGGTGAGACTACAGGCTGGCTGCTCCTCTCCCAAGCACAGGCAGGTAAAGAGACCCTTAAAACAACCTGCTCGTAACACGCCAGCACCACCAAACTCCAGCTGAGCTCTCACCTGCCTGCTATGCTCACACACATCTCCCCCACTCAACAGTACGGACTTGCTCTTGGTGTGAGCCCTAGAGACCATGACCACATTGACACCAGGAAAAGTTTCTTCCTCAACTGTTCTAAAACCCACAGAAAGGGTCAGCAACCAGCCACGTGCTTCCTGCTAAAATGCGCATCTGCACCGTTGGTGTAGATGTGATGTGGATCGTTTTCCAGTGGGGTTTGGGTATGGCCTGGAGGCAGGGATTGTGGCTCTCAGAACTGTCAGGTCTTTGCCATTCTGCGCTGGGGGGGGTTTTTTTTGGGGGGCAAACATCAGGAGTATTTTACTAAACTACAGCAGCAAACAAGCTTGTTGGCAGATTCTAGTGACAAGAACATAATGCAAACAGTTCAAGTTACCCAGAAAGCAATAATTTTGGTGGTAATCGGGGTAAAAAAAATCAATTCAGGATAATAATGTGATACATGAACACAGCATCTAGACAAACAATCTTAAAGATAAGTACAGCAGGGACTACTTTGGGGGACACCGCCAATTAAGCATTTTGCTGTTGAACCTGAAACAGGAGTAAGAACAAATCTGCCCATTTTTATATGGATGTGTAACCAGCAGAAACGAAAAGCCAGACCCTGCTCCCAGCAAAACCATTATTTGCCTCCTTCCTGCCTTTAAAAACACCTTGCTGGGAGGTAAGGAAGAATCCGCCTCTTTATGATTTTGTTAAGAGGATGCCAGGGTTCTCCCTTGTTGCTGTTGGGGTAGTTGGGGGGAGAAGAGGATAATTTTATTTTTTCAATGAGATTTTCACGTTCAATGCACAGCTCTTACCTGTCCTGAAAACATCTGATCATAGAATTTATGGCATTTTAAGAAGTTGTAAGAGTGCAGAGAAGTAGAGAGAATAAAAAAATAAAATCTCTGCCAAATCTCTTTCAAATTTGATGCCTTAAAGTGGGTTCCTAAGCCACAACCAGAAGCCAAAGTACATTTCAACAAGCCAAGGGGGCTGACGACTGAACACAAACAGGCTTCACTTCCCCCTCATCCCCTCACCCCAGGGGGGTTCAGAGGGGAGCAGGTAACTGCACAAAGCCATTTAGAGAATCATACCCTAAATATCAAGGGATCCCTGGAAGCCCTCAGGAATTCTGTCCACTGCTTTTATTAACAACTGATTCCAGTGACTAGTTAAGATTCTGGAAAACTGATGCCACTATTCAAGATCTGACACCTTGCCTCTTTTAGCCTTTAAGCAAGGCTGAAGAACGTACGCGCTAAGGATTACACGCTGCAGACACCAGGCCAAACGTACCATTGTAAATCATTCCCCCTGACTTCAAGGGAATAATCTCATCTCGGGGACAGATCTGATCCAGTCCTAATTGTGGGGATTTCTAACGTTAATAGGGCACATACTGTCAGTTCTGTAGGTATTTTTCATTCACAAAGACAAAAAGCACTTACCATGCTATGCAGACACCGGCATGCAGATCAGCCACATGCACTGCACTCACAGAGAGTTACATTTGCTATGGCAATTATGAGCAAGTTATATTTAAATGTCAATTAGTAACATCCACTGAAACTATGGCAAGACAAAAAAAAAAGAAGCTAAATTAAAAGTGTTAAAATGCTAACGGTAATGGCAAATTTGTTCGGAATTTTCTAGAAAGTTATCCTTCAAAAAAAAAAAAAAGCCAAGCAAACATACCTGGAGAGTTTCATTCACAGTTGGCGATACATCCTGTTCAGTGCCTACGGGAAGGGTCTGAGGAGTGTAAAGACCATTAACGAGCAGTTCATAGAATCGCATGCGGGTTTCACCTGCAGAGACCACAATGGAATGGTCAATTAAACACAAATAACACAGCCCATGTAAAAATACGTATTCTTAACACCCGCGCGACCCTGCTACCACTCCCAGGCCGCTGCATCCATGCAACAGAGGAGCAGGTATCAATTCTAAATAATCTGCTGGGCAAGTGAAGTCCGACACTCCCTTCGCCAGCCAGGACAAGAAGGTTTTCTAAACGCTTTTTCCTCTTCTCAGCCTGCTTGGCAGCTCTGTTCTTTACCGTGCTTTCTGGAGCGCAGCAGTCTCCCTCCTCTCCAAAGTGCCAAGCACACAGCTTGCAGGTTTGAGAAGTGAAACTCTCACCCAAGGGACAAGCCTCTGCCAACACCCAGAGCCACTTCAGAAAGCTCTCCCAACACACCTTGCTAGTAGAAACTGGCTGTTACTAATGCAAACACGATGTATGGGAATGCGGAGGACAAAACCGATAACGTTGCTTTTCCAAGATGACACCAACTAATCCTTTCCCTCCCCACAGTTTAAGGTGTGCTCTTTGGCATCCTTTTAAGAAAAGAGCCAGAGAAGCAAACTATCCCGCATATTGTTACCGAGCTTTAGCCTTTTCATTCCTAAATTCTACAAAGACTCAGTTTCTTAACAGTGGATTTTTCATTACTACAAAAACCCAATCCTTCTTATTTTGCAGTCTGTAAGAAATCTGTCATCAGCTTCAAAGGCAACAGAATCAGACCCTGAAACTGACTGAATTTTGCCCCGAAAGATAAAGAACACACAGAAAAATGGACAGACACAGCACCTGAGCCCAGACAATGAATTCAGGCAAGATCTCCCCCAAAACAGGAGTACAAAGCAGAGGAAGTCCTGTAGGATCAAACCCCAAACTCCCTGTGAGTCACACTGGGCCATTCAACAGCAAAGCATCCCTCAGCACGATTCTGTCTACTGGAAAAGACTCATCTATCTTGAATAATGCTGCAGATGAGATTATTTGGTTATCAAATCTCATTTCACAAAGTCTTGAGCTACATCTTCAACTATGTAAACTGTTTTAGTTCAACCAAAGTCATGACAAAATAGATCTTTTCAAGACAAGACCTTGAAGACATGCTTGAAATATTACGCTCGAAATCTTAACACACACACACCACCCCCTTATAAGCCTACAACGCCATGGATATGGGAGTGTTAGGCTTACTTTAAAACTTGTTTTTAAATAAATACAAAGTTTCATAATTCTTCCTGGATGCCCAATATAATGCAGTAAAAGTTACAATTCCATTTTCAAAGAGGTTTATGAATGTGAAGTGACTGCCTATCTCTTTCTCTAGCAACAGGTAATTATTAAGTGTGTCCATTCTGTGGATGGATAAACTGAGGCAGAGAAGCTGCTTCAAACTAACCTGTCTTGGCTGAAGAGACCTTATTTACTGGTTCCAGATTCCCAGGCCTGTGTTCTGGCCAGACAAACAAAACAACACTTTTGCTCCTAATATTTATTCTGCTAGACTATGAAACTCAAGCTAATCAACCTTTCATTCTCTTGAAAAGCTGAATACTAGAAAGAAGCACTGAAAACTATATATATACACACATATATATATAAAGAATGTCCTAACCTGCTAATGCTATTTTAGGAATAACATTTTTACTTGATTCTGACAGATTATAGCACACTGACAGCCTTACTCTTCTAGAACAAAAGAGATGCAACTGTGGAAAAAAAAATACATTAGAAGCATACAGCTGGCAAACAAAACAAAAACGGAATTTGAAACTAAGACTTCAGTCTTTTCTCCCAAGAAACAGAAGCACAAACCCCCACTTTTCCTTGATGTGCAGCTAACTTTATTGAACAGCTGTCTGTTCCAGACTTGCAGAGTAATTTATAAATGGAGGGGAACAAGAAGGAATGTAGTACCATCAGCTTGTTTAAAATGCCTCTCATTAAGATGTCCACCACTTACGAGCCTGCTTTAGCTTACATTATTAAATCTGCAAACGGTTAATTTGTTCTTAAATGTAATTTTTACCTTCAAATTTCAAAGTACACAGGGGAAAGAGCCTGTCTGCAAAAATTCATGGTACTAGAATTTCAAAATATATATATGTACGGTCAAGCTTAGCTCACAATAGAAAATATTATACCGCTACTGTGATTTTCCTCCTAACTGTGATCGGTACTGTCAATAAAGGTCCTACTACACCCTCTCACCACGTGTGGCACACCAACTGCTGTACAGGTTGTGCGCCAAATTGTTGAAATCATTTAATACAGAACAAAAATATCAGTATTTTTTAAGAAAACTGCGTTAACGATGTCCTCTTCCCAAGAAAGAGTGCAGGAAGTCAGTTTTACACTAGAAATGCCATGGTTGCAATGAAGAACTACAAGCGGCAACAGATCGACACCTCCTCAGCTACAGACATTTTCTAAAATTCAAGCACATTTTAGCAAAGCCCTTCACTACCACGCCTGGAGGAAAGCGAAAAGACGAAGCGGTGAAAACGCCAACGCTTTCGTGCTTCCAGAAACTTTACTGGGCTCCCCAGGGCTGGGGCTCTGGGGCTGAGCGTCGGTTACCTCCAGGACGTGGCGCTCCTGTCGCTTTAAGAGACAGTCTCACACTTACACACTCGCACACACACGCACTGACAAGTGCTGCGTGTGCACTCTTTTGCTGCCAGCCCCGAGTTTGCTGCTAAGTATCAATGAAACGCCAGGCACGCAGAGGGCAGCACCCAGCGCCGCTGCTGCCGGAACCCAGAGGTTCGGGTCCCAGGAACCCCCAAGGTTTGCCCCAAAATCCCACGTTTGCAAAAGCCGGGTGCCATGGGGTCCGGCAGTCCCAGGAGGTGGCCGAGCGGGGCCACCTTGGGACACGGAGACCGGGGGCACAGGAGGGCTCCGAGGGCAGGGGCTGGGCAGGATGGCAGCATTTTGCAAATTACAGGGCTGTCTCCTAGCAACAGACAACACATTTGGCTCCACGTGACTCGCAAAGGCCCCAGAAACCAAACCCTCTCCCTTCGTATTTTTAATCGCCGGGCCCTTGAGGTCTGCAACAGCCTCTCGTTTTAGGAGAGGGACAGGCAGGGGCACTGCGAACCCAGAACGCGTGAGGCCCAAACGTGCCCCCTCACCTTTCGTATCCAGCTCCACGTGGATGATGTTGCCCATGACCGAGGTGTTGTGAAGGTGCTGGACGGCCTCCCGGGCACCCTTGACAGTGGCAAAGATCACTTTGGCGATTCCCAGGTGCTTCTTGTTCTTGGGGTTGTAAAGAATCTCCACCTCTTCCACTTCGCCGTATTTCTTGCACATGTCGGTCAAAAAGTTTTCGCGGATGTTGTCGTTCAGCTTGGCAAAGGTGACCTGCTTGGGAGGCACTGGCCCCACGTAAAATTCATCAATCTGGAAGCGGGCACAAGGTGGGGGGACGATAAAAATAACCGTCATCGTTAGCAAGCGTGGGGAGGGAGGGCATAAGGACGGCACGGGAAGGAGAGGGTTAAAGCATCCTGCAAACTCTGGGGAAAGAAAACTGCCTCCAAGGTTCATCCCCGGCACCGAGCAGAGCCTCTGCCGCTGCAGCCATTCATTGAAACCAGCTCCTTTCTGGGCTACAAATAGGTATTTTGAGCAGTATGGTCAGCATGGAGCCCCCCCCTCCGCTGCCCCCCGCCCGAGAAGCCCCCAGGACACAGCTCCAAGACCTTAAAGTGATCTCGTTAGACAAATGCACTGATTACTCGTTATCTTTGTAGAAAGGATTATTGTTAAGCAGTTTGCCAAATAATAATGTTAATAGGAATATGACTGTCATTTCACCGGTCCATTAAACTATTTGGAACTGAAGCTTCACTCCTGAGAACACAGAGCTAAACCCGAAAGTCCGGGGTGGTACCTTGAATTTGGGGACAGACAGCTCCAACTCCTTAGTTTTGGTCCATATTCGCCCTATTCTGGGATCCCTGACACAATCCACAGGAGCGATTCCCGAGTTCTGGGAGAAGGATGAGGAAGAGGAGAAAAAGCACAAAACCAGCAATAACAGGGCTTGAAATTTAAGACACCAATAAAATAAAAAAGAAATCCCAAGGAAGCACAGGCTGTCTCAGGGGAAGGGAAAAGCGTGCACACACACACACATACATCCACACACGTGTCAAATTGCAATACTGCTGGGAAATGCACACAGACTGGAAACATAGAAATAAAGCCGCAGGTTTGGGCTCCCTGGGCTCCTGACAGTTGAATACACAGTGTCAGGTGGCGGTAACTTCGGTGGCTCTGTCTGTGCGTCCCTCCCCAGACCCCCCCTTCCCACAGACTTGCATTAGAAC